AACTGTTATCATATTTTGGTTATTACAAGGAGATTAAAAAATCCCATGCGTGCCTCAATATATTACTCATTATTAATTTCAATTTCATTTCTAGTAGTTAAAATAAAAAAAAAAGTTTCTTTATATAATGTTGAATTTAAGTATTGACTTAAAATTTCAATAATATTTTTGAAATTTTGTTTTGTATTAGAATTGTAAAGGATCTTTTAAAAACTGACCCCCATCCCATCACATTCAGGCTGAGAAACATAGTCTTTGTTAAGAACACCACTTGAGCAAACATTTTTTCACAATACGGTACTATGTCGAAACTTTAACGAGCTCAGCTAATTCAGAGCTTTTGTCCTAGACAAAACAATGCGCCCTTCATATTTTATTTTTCTCTATATATAATAATTTTCCAATATCATACCAATAATTCTAAATAGATTGAGCCCTTGAAGGCGTCTACCTGACGAATCTTTGCATTAAATTGTGTCAAAATTAAACAAAAATTCAATAAACTTGCCATTTTATTTGTTAAATACGTTATATACAATTCATTCATAATTTATTCTTTTCATTGGCATAATTGAAAACTACTTATTAAAATTTTAATAAAGAATTTAAAAAGATAAGTCCAATTATCCCGAAAAAATTCTGGAGATGTACTTTTTGGAATATGATCTGGAACCACTTATACATGGGGTCTTAATGATACTCTGCAAAATTTAAGACTGTCTGAGACTCCTTTTTTAATCAATGGAGAACGGTAAAATTTCTTTCAGGAGGGATTTTTCTCCTTACATTGAAAAATCTGAAATAAGAATTAAGATCTTTTGATTATAGCTTATTAATTTCTATTTATACAAATTATTTAGGTATTTTTCCACACAAACCAGTAAAATAAAAAAAAATCGACTCATCCTAAACCTCAGTTGAAGATTTTTGTACCAAATACTCAAAATCTACTAGCCACTGATTGAACTCTAAATATTATTAATTGTTTTCTTGTTTGGACAATTTTAGTTTTCAAGATGCATGCATATTCAAAGTTTTTTTTTTAAATTGTGACCGCAAAGTTCATAGTTCAATGTTGAACATATTCAAAATGAAGAAAGGGAGATGTGTGCATAGCATACGCCAAAAATACAACGACAAAACAAAACAAAAAGCTACAAAAGACTGTACGTTAAGGTGGTTTATCATGTCTCCATCTCGTCTACCCAAGACAAGAAATAAGGCGAAAACGGAAATGTTGACACTCTTTGTTTTAAATCTGTGCTACAAATATAAGTTTTATATAGACATCATTCTTATTATTTTCTATTTAACCCACAGGCAATGAACAATAACAACATTGTTCCTTTTCATTGACTATATATATAGATAAGTTCTACATGGTTTGTTTTTGTGGGTTTGTAGAGGTTTTTTTTTATTGGATAACTACTTGTTTGTTTGTTTGTTTGTTGTTGGTTTTTTTAACATATCTTTATTTTATGGATCCAATTTAAGATTAGATGATTAAGAATTTCGCGCAAACCGGTGCCGTTTTAAACTTGCAGCGAGGTGAGAGAGTTTTTGCTCCGTGTTGAAGGCCTCATTGTGACTTTAAGATATGGAACAGCAATATATAAAAGTGCTGTTTCTTTGATTTTTGTGTTTTTGCTGTGCACATACTGATTTTGTGTCATGAATGGATACCCCATATCCTTTCTGTTTTATTAAAATCTGACTTACATATTTTTTTTACAAGGATATATCATTTATATTAAGCATTTGTACAGTGGTCATGTTACACTTTCATAAACTAAAAGATGCACGAGACCAAACATTTGAAGAAAGAAAAAGAAGAAAAAAATCTTGGCTTCGTGAATTTTCGGGGAAAGTAAGTAAAGTTTCCACACTGGACATTTCTACAAACAAAAGCAGAATCCAAATGATACTATTGTTTATTCTGGTTATTCACTTACGATATGCATAGCTCTGATTTCTTGCCCAGGTTTGGCCTTAATTGTGGTCATTTTTGTTTTAATCCAGCTCTTCAACGTTTGCATTTGTTCATGGAGAATTTTCAAATATTTTAGCCTCGAGCATCACTATTCAAAGATGGTACAATGAGACATTGGTTGTCGATTTGCACATCTGGTGTAGAACAATGTGTACCGATAATGTTATTATTGCAGGTTTTCTTTTATATGCAACATTAATGTATATAACTCTACGGAAACTCAGTTGAATATTTTGGGGAAAAACTTATTCCGGTTATAAGATACTAGTATTTGGAATTTTCCGTTTTCTCTGCATGTATTTGCAAGTTCAATGTCAATGTTCAAGGTCTTGCCAGCCTTATCGCCAACGAAAGGTTTGAAATCCAGAAAGGAAGGTTGGAAAGACAAGAAGTGTCATTTGAGTCGTTGGTTTGCTGTCAAAATGATTATTCATACTCCATACACATCTTATAATTGAGAAAGTATTTTTGAAGTCACGAATAACAGAATAGATTGAAATCACGTGTTTCAATATTTGATCAGTATTTTTGAAGGCACGAATAACAGATTAGGGAGCTACCATTTGATTTTTATGGGGGGGGGGGGGGGCCTAGGATGAAAAATTTTTTCCTGCATTTTTTTTTAGTTGTAATCTTCTCTGTCCTGCCTTTTTATTTTTCACTCTATTCCCTCTATTCGGTCCTGCCTTTTTTTTTATTAGTTTATCCTGACTTTTTTTACATAAATTGTCATCCTGCCTTTTTTTTTGGCCAAGTTGTTCATCCTGCCTTTTTTTTTACTCAAAACTCCTGTCCTGCCTTTTTTTTCAAATTTCATCCTAGCCACGGTTCCATGCGTGTATACTTTAAGATTCTTACAATATTTTGGTGTATTCAAAATCGATGACAAAATTAAAAACGTCTGAAGATATCTCAAAACCGCAATTTTGACAGATTTTTGCGATTTTTAAGTATTTATGCAAACAAATTACACGAAGAACATTTTAACCAAACTAACATTTTGTTGAAAGTGAAACTATATATTGTACATGTCCTTCGATACAAATTATTTCATTTTGGTAACGGACGTTTTTCGACGCTAAATATGTCAATTATGCATCATAATACCTTCGACGACAACTGAATTACATTTTCATTTTATGGAAACTTGTATAATAGTTAAAAGTATATAATTCAGACTATCTTCCATTCTTATTTCAACAAGATTTGACAAGCTGTAGATTTTGACTCTCCGAGTAAATTTGAACCTAACTCTTTTTTTCCAGAATATTCATGCAGTCTTTGACAATTCTTTGTTGTTATGTTACTGGTAAATACTAATAAAAAGATATGCGCTTTAAAACTGAAAAAAAAACGGAAATACTTATTTAATTATATAAAAGGGTCTGGATGGGGTCCCTCATTTCGGTATTCTTTCATTCGAGGTAATTTTTCTCTATTCTTTATATTTTTGCTCATTATTTTCTATTCTTTATGTTTTAACACCACATTATTCTCTATTCTTTATTTTATTGTTGCCTATTATTTTTTCCCTATTCTTTAATTGTTTGGCCCATTTTTCTGTAGTATTGGTCCATTATTCTATATTCTGTTAACCCCATTCAGACCCTCATATAAACATACTACTATATCACGTCGTTGATACCAGCCGATCTTTATTTCTAAAAAATAAAAAAAATACTTTGCATGAATTTATGAAGTAAAATAACACTTAATTATGAAATAAAAGGAATACTTTTTATGTTGGTAATCTGAAAATGTCCGTTTAATCATACATTCTCTTAAAAAAATTATATTTCCTCACGATGTCTTTTTTAGGGGTCAGAGGGATGGTGTGTCGTTTGTCGACTTCTTTAGATGTCTTTTGGGTTTTTGTCGTCGGGTTGCTATCTCTTTGACGTACGTCTTCTCACATCTTCTATTTAAACCAACTACAAAAATCAGAAGAACTTTTTAAAATACAATAACGAGGCCCCTCATGGGGGTGTCCAAGTAATCTCATAATCATAAATTTTTTGCCAATATAATCACATAATCATTAATTATTTTTTTAAACAAGATAATCAAATAATCAAAAAAACATCCTAGATTATCAAAATATCAAATAATCATGAAATATTTGGTCTGGTAATCAAATAATCACTATAAAAACGGCCAAGTAATCACACAATCAAAAACCCCATGAGGAGGCTCAATAACACATAAATGCTCAACATGCAGTTGTATTTATTAATGTTTCATATATAATGCAAGCAGACCTCTGTATTGAACAGAAAATAAAATATTATGAATTGAAGAGGTTCAACAAGTGACATTTTTTATAGAATTAATTAATAAATAAATTAATAAATAGATGTATGAGTTATAGGAACGGAAAAACCTGCATAATTGATTGCCTAAATAGTAATAAAAGTAAATACAAATTATAATATTGGACATTCAAACACCCCAGCCGAATCATTCAATTAAGAGCTTTCCAAATGTACAATTTCTTATTGTGTGGTAATTCCTTGTCAAAAGAAATAAATTAATAATACTTGTAATTACGAATACCAATAATCTGTAACATATGTATATTCAATTTGCTTTGAAGTCACCAAAATGCACATATTATTTAAGCATAAGTTACGGGGACTTTAGTACAGAATAAGGTAATAAAATATGTGTAAAATTTTACAAACGGACATTTTGTACGATTCACAAGGATATATGTATTACACCACGATCACAACTTAATTTTAAAATATGTCACATATTGAATTTTAAAACTATCATTATCCCTTTTCAATCAACAAAAGTCACTTTCAACTCTCATAATATTGTAATAAATTAATTTAATTGATTCGGTCGACTATCATCTTGCGCAACCATAAATAATCCCATTTCTTTTCGGAAGGATGACTTTAATGAAAAGAAGGCGTTTCCGAATGTATTTGTCAATCAGGTTTACGTCTACGCTTGAGGCGGCTATTGGTTGAGCTTAAGTAAAAGACGAAGTAAATACCGGGCGGGGAAAAGGTGGGACTGAACAAATTTAATATGTACTTCTGCGAGATATCTAACACTTAATTTTGTTGGTATGGATTGCAGATGATAAACAGGGATAATTTTATACATTATTATTTATACAAATTTCATCATGGCCGCAACAATAATTGGGGTAAGTGTATTCGAATCGATTTTGTAAATAATTATTTTGTTTTGAAATGGACGATCGGTTGTTCACAGTTTCATTACCAAACAGATGCGCAATTAATACAAGTATCATACTTCAGCATCTATTGCACTTTGACTTTTGTGCACTTGACACCTAACGAGTTAGTGTGTTTTTCTTGAGTGTAATGTGCATTGAACTAACTATACATTGAAAAGTTAAAGTGTTAGATATACCTACTACGGGATAAAAGACAGGAACTCTTGATTTTCTGATTAAGACATGATTTAAAAATTTATCGCCTGATAATTTATTATTTTTCTGATAAATTTGAATAAACATTCCATCCCCCTATTTGAACGCACATCCACACCTTATCATTTTGGTAAAAATACTGTGTGTATCTTAAATTTTCATCAACAAGCAAACTTGTGGAAAATGTGAAATGTCCATCAATTCTAAAATATTTATTAAAATATTAAAGTTTTCATTTTGTAGGGTTGCATTTTGTAGAGTTGCATTTTGTAGGGTTGCTGGCTCATTGATTGTACCCTTCATCTCCATTATTTCTCCTATATCATCCATTCAAGAAAACACCCATAAGAAAAAAGACAATTTAAAACTAATGTATATTCTTTTAAAATATATATAACTGAATTTGCTTTGTAAAATAAAGATGTTGTCAACAAGTCCTTGAACTCTGGTAAAGCGAAATATTAAAACGTCAAATCTAGTTTAAAAGTTAAGTTTTATTTATAAATGATTTTGAAAAATGTGAAAATGATGTCAAATGCAAAATCTACATGATTATGGATGATCATTATTTTCGCTTTTTGAAAAAAAATGTTTTAAAAGAAAACCTAAAATATCAAAGACACAATTTTCAAAGAATAAAATGCATATCATTGTATATTTTGGTCAATTATCACCACCTGTGTCCTAAACTTAAATTTATCTTAAATGTTTAAACTCGTAAAATTCACAATACAGAAAACGCATTTACTACATAAGAGGTATACTGATAAAATACAAAACAAGATTAAATTTCGTGTAATTGTTTTGTAAACAACAAGTTCTAACTTTTCCGGTTAGCAGCCTGATGAAATTTTATACCCTTTATTTAAGTTCGTACCGATCGGGGTGCCGATTTATAAGCTTGAACTTCTATGTTCTCCATTTACGGGGTTTTTCACGCTATGCACAAACATAATAATATATCTAAGGTTATCAGGCAAGGGGCACCACTAATTACTTAGTCCTTTTGTTAATCGGGTCGGGTTCAAATTAGTATTATGCTTCGTGCGCTGCACGCAATACACCTATAATACTTTTATAGACTAATTTTGATTTTCTTTAAGAGATAGCTTTGAAAGAGTGACTGCTAAGATCCTATTGTCCACCAGTTTATTTGAAGTCTACTTAAAACAGAATTTGGGGGTTTTTAAGACTCTTTAAAATAAGATTCGTAAAACTAATGACTTTTTTGTAACAAACGAAACGTTTGGATATGTGAGAAAGTTTTTGATAATTGCTACAAGAAAGTCTGAGAGAATTAAACATTTTAGTTAAATTTAAAAAAAAAAGACAAATACGTGTGTACATAATTTATAGAATTAAAATACTCTACATTCGACCTTGTCCCGTTATGGTAATATTCTTCAATTTATATCCTAATTAAATATTTAAGTTACGTGTTCGTGGATGGAGATTGGATAGAATGAAAATAAAAATAAAAAGATAACCTTTACGTGAATTTTATGGCGTTTTTAAAGATTGATAATTATTTGCTGTTAGCCTGTTAAGATATTAATAAATTGTTGCTGATAATGCCATTGAGCTGTAGATTCAAGAGAGACTCAGCGAGGTTTAAAATATCATTATATATCATATTTATATACCATTAAAACAGTCCAAAATTATGCAGTTCGGGATGTCTTTGGTTTATTTTAATCGTTTTAGGTAGCTCTGTCATTGACATATTCCTCTTAGCTTAATTTATTCGTTTTACTTTATTTTTAACACATGGAAAGCACATGTTTGACAAAACACTTCAGTGTTGATTGAGAATGACAGAAGAATTTATTAAAATATTTTTTTTATTATTACATACGTCATAAGATTATGTATAAAACGAAAGTTCGTGCGTCAAAAGTGCTTTTCTCGATTTACCTTTATCAGGAACGCTAAAACCCAAATATTTGAAAGCCGAAGAAGTATAAGACCTAAACACCTGAAGAGCTATATGTCTAAAGGGAACCTAAATATTAGCCAAATTTATCTAAGATCAGCTTTTCCCGGGGAGTTGGCACCTTAGTTGTAAACTAAACAAGAATACTTGGAAATAAGCCGTAAAATACTAAAAAAGGCTTTACAAACTGGTAACAGGGCAGGCATTCCAATTTGAAGATTAAATTCTTTATTCAAATTCACTGAAATTTGGAATATATATTTTATCTCTTGTAACAGGAAAGCATATTTATGTGTATGTATTTATTTATTTATTTATCATGTATTCAGCGGCCAACACCTTGATAAAATGTGTCAATATTTTTCAAGTCTTTGCAATTTCATAGATAATTTTTCTACTTGTTCGATCATTTCTACTGATGTACCTTCACAAAAGTATTCAGTGTGTGAATGATTCATTGTACCTTACCTTTTTCATGGTCTTTTCAAGCACATTTCAATTTATTTTCAATCCAATTAAAAAATTTCTATAAGGAGATGAGAAACAGTCTATTTATTTAAAACACCATACAAATCCAATATTTTCATTTTCGATTTTGTGTTTAAACTTCATTCCTTAACGGAAAGATAGAATTACATTTTCATTTAAATTTTTTACAAACCTCATCTAGAGTATTTTTTCTAGTATTTGCACTTGTGTGAACCTTATTTTATTTGTTTGAAATATTTAGTAGAAGAAATATTAACCGATAAAATAGAAATGATTATCTTTCAGGGGTCACGAATTGGAGGAGATTTTGAAAGATACACACAATAAAATCTGAAACATGTGTCATATATAATTTTCTGATGTTTAAAATTTCAATAGAAATAGCTTAACAATTTTATAGGGAATTTTAACAGTTAATTTAGTCCTAATAAGAAATATTAACATTTTGATAGTTTTTGATTCATTACCAATTCTCTAATGGTGTTTTACAATAATACAATAAAGATAACATTTAAATTAAATGTATACAAATGTATTTTTGAGAAATAGTAATTTGACATTTAAATTACTGAAACTATGATAATGAATTTTATATCTTATAACGAGAGAAAAAAAAACATTAAAGTTTCTAAGATTATCAATTTTCAAAATGAATATTGGTACATATTATATAAAAATATCTGATCCCGATTTCAGATCGATCGGCACGTGTTTTAGAATAACCTTCATCTGGTACCTTTGAGACTAACAAAACCCATCTTGTTACCCCGGCGGCCTTTTATATGTTGCTTTAATTTGAAGACCCTTATGATTGTTTACTTCCCTGATATGATAGTTGTCTCAAAGACAATACTACCCATCTTCTTATTTTATTGTTATAATGATGCAATATCCATAATACCAGAAGTCCATTACTAGACCTTCTGATAATACAAACATGTACACTGAAGAAAAAAAAAAACGAACAACAATACATGTTTTCGCCATGACCATCAACGAAAAGCTTGAACTCAAATGGATACAAAGCTGACCTTGAAATCTGACATTGAAATATTACATGCATAACGTCTGAAGTGGGGGAGGGTGTGTCTTCATTTATGTATTTATAAAAAGGTTGCCCAGTATTCTCTATTCTTTATATTTGAACACTTAATTTTCTATATTCTTTAATGTTTTTAATTATTTTTTCTATATACATTAATTCTTGGCCCCATTATTTTCTATTGTTAACCTCATCTAGACCCTCAAATAAGACACACAACAAACAAATGGGTTTTGCTCATTGTTGAAGGCCGTACGGTGACCTATACTTGTTAATTTCTGTGTTATTTGGTCTCTTGTTGTCTCATTGGTAATCATACCACATCTTCTTATTTTTACATTACTGTAATGAAATTTTACATCTACTAGCATGTTTAGTGTCAAAGATTTTTAATAAAAAAAAATAACAAAAGATTAAAAAAAAACAATGGTTTTCTCGTTTGGATTGTTTTGTATTTTGTCAATTGTTTTATAGGGACTATACGGTATGGGTTTTGCCGAGGTCCGTACGGTTACCTCTACTCGATCTCTGGTGGATAGTTGTCTCATTGGCAATCATACCACATCTTTTTATTTTTAATGAAATAAGCACACGGCCATGAAAAAAGTTGCTTCGATGAACTAAACTATATTTGCTACAAAATAAATAAAGAATATTAATCTACATCTATATAGATGTCTATTCTTACATGTATATCATCGAAACTTGAATTCAAGGAGCCGATGCTTCAGAATTTTTTTACATATAAATACTGAAAATAGCAAAATTTCATCACATCTTTTGATTATTAAAGTTGCTTCGATGAACTAAACTATATTTGCTACAAAATAAATAAAGAATATTAATCTACATCTATATAGATGTCTATTCTTACATGTATATCATCGAAACTTGAATTCAAGGAGCCGATGCTTCAGAATTTTTTTACATATAATTACTGAAAATAGCAAAATTTCATCACATCTTTTGATTATTAGAATATTAAACTATTTGTTATTTGTTTATTTGAGCGTTCGAACATAAGGTACATGTATTTATTTATAATAATAAAACACCCTCGCATTCCGTTCAAATCTCGACAGCGAAATTACAAAGGTGGAAGAAAACGTTCCCAAAACTTTTCTCAACCGCTGTTTTCATTTTAATCAACCAGAAAGAGATGCGGATAAAACGATCAAACATTTTAATAATTAAACATTCAATTTATTTTCAAGTTACAACTTTTTATCTAATTCCCGTATTTCAACTTACTGATCAAAGATACTTACTATAGATCCAATACAAAGCTGTTCATTTGAGTGTTAAAGTAATCAACCAAACTAATTTTTCATTAAATTAAACAACTTCAGATAAGATGTGATCTAAAGCGCCGATGTTTTTGCGTGTGGCAACCTTGAGGCACAATAGTACTTGATATAGTTAAAGTAAGTAAAGACGTACCACCTGGGATCTCCGAGTCAGGTGACCGTGTCCCTTCCGGCAAAAAATGTTGTCAATACTTTTTATCGGTGTTCGATCTGAATATAGGTGTAAACAAAACACCCTAACCCTAGGATGAGTTATTTAACAATACTGATGATAATATTGGATTAAGTTCTGTATATCTTATAATTAAAAAAAAAGGAATTGCCAAAAGAATTTAAAAAAAAATGAGTACTAGATAACAATTTTTATGAAATTTATATAAAGAACGCCACTTCTTGTGTGTGTGGTAAGGAAGAAGGTAAAACCATAAGACAAATATAAAGTGTCGTGTATATCCAATATCTATCCTTTCCCTCAATAGTTAAATGCTGTAATCTTAACAATTTCTGCGAAAACAACCATTTATTTTTACTTTTCCATTGACTAGGAAAATAAAACCTTTGAAATATGGAAAATCTTAAAAGTTTTTAACTATACCAAAACGTTTTATCTTTGACATTTATATTGTAAGTTAAGCCATGAAGGATTTATATTAAGAAAGGATCTCCTTGACATCGTTTTTTGCACTGTTCGTACTTTGTTCAAACTGATATAAATACGTTAAATTTTAAAATTGCTAGAACATGATATTTCAACAAAGTTGCCTAAAAGTCTGTGCAAAACAATTAGTTAAATAAAAACAACCAGCATTTCTTTCTATAATCATTAGCACGATGCATATATTTTTCACGAAACGATAATACACATCATAAGATCATAAACTATATTTTATTTTTTTTAGTTTTGAGCGACAACTTGTCATTTTTTTTATATGTCCAAAAGTTAAAATGCGATCTGGAGTTTTTCAATTTGTAATAAAATGCCGAATTTTGCAGAAAAATTATTATCGTTTAAATTAACTATTATTAAAATTGACACTAATTCAAAAAGACGAACATTTAAGCAGAGGTGGAGCGCAGCTGGCGTTGAACTTAAGGCCGTAAAAACATAATTTATAATCATTTAATAATCTGTAGTTTGATAAGATCGTAAGCGACACTTCATCGTAAAAAATTAACGATACAAGCTCCTTACTGAGCCAGATTTTTTAACAGATTTCTTCAATTTTAACAAATTGTGATTGATTTATCAAAACAAATGTATAACATTTTAAGAGCAAAAGGATTATTTATCTCCATGCTATTCTTGTTTTTATATTATCTGTTACATTTGCACTTTGTGATATATATAAACAAACTTTAAATTTCGAAAAACTGCACGGTGATATAAAATAGCACAGCAATTTCAGTACACTGCATGATTTTTTCCTATTTGGAATTCAAGAAATACTCTATTAGTTAACGTTGCGACTAACAGTCCGAGAGCAAGTTATACAATTGCTTAAATTTAAACTGGAAAGGATTTACACAAAACAACAAAACATCCAAAGGTCAACCTTGGTATAGTTATTACCAAAATATTGGATCATTAGTTCCCTGATAGGAACAGTTATCCAGCAGTACCAGTAATATATATGTTAGATACCGATTTCAGTGAGTGTAACACGCGTTTCCGTAATAATCTACAGGCCAAAGGCTTGTAGTCTAATAGTTGCCGTTGGATGCCGTCTGCGTGTCGAAACTGTTTTTCTTTTTTTTTCGTTTAATGTAACAAGTTTAAATCAATCAGTTTGTTTTCTCTGAGTTGTTTATATTTTGCCATTCCGGGTTTTCTATAGTTTACTATACGGCATGGGATTTGCTCATTGTTGAAGACTATACACGCTGACCTTTAGGTGTGATCATACTTGTCCATAATTGATCTTTGGTGGATAGATGTCACATTATATTTGACAATCATTCCCCTTCAGATTTTTATAATCATTGAATAGTTTCGGAAGCTACACAAACAAAGCATAAAAAAGAAAGATATAGAAAAAAAGTCAACACGACAAAATGCCTTTTTATTTTACACTCTATTCGGTCCTGCCTTTTTTTTAAGTTTATCCTGACTTTTGTTTTGCAAGTGACTCATCCTGCCTTTTTGTTTTACTCAAAACTCCTGCCTATTTCTTTCAAATTACATCCTAGCCCCCCGCCCCCCATAAAAATCAAATGGTAGCTCCCTAAGTTTGTGGTGCTGCTGCTTTTTTTTTAATTAGGTCAATAATATCATCTCCTCCTCCAAAAGGAATATTTATTTAAATGTACAGGACGATAATGAATTTAAACTTTGCCTTTAAAAAATGTAAAAAAAAAGAAATATTTGCTACTGGACCAACAATCAATCATTAATAAGAAAATATATTTTTAATACTTAGTCGATTGTATAAAATTGGAGTATGTCATAGACTTCTTCTTATTCTAAATTGGAAAGAAACTGAAATAGATTAAATGCTGTTTACTCGACATTAAACGCAGTAACTGCTTAAGGATTAAAACGTCCCTGCAGGTCTATATCTGTAAGGTTGTGAGCCCTCTATGGAATGATTTGTGAGCGGTTGTATTCAATGGTTATTGCTAAAGGTCAAGTATTAAGGAAATTATTACCGCGCCACATAATGGCGATGTCATTTGAATTCCAAACCATAACATAATAACGTCTTTATTATTTGAATTAGATCGGAAGATGAATAGGGTGTAAACTGCATTGAATCGTTTTCCCCATAATATCGGAACCCACTGTGAGTAAAACTTGTTATCTTTTGATGTCGTGAAAAATCTGATTAAAAGGATTCTCAAATCCTGTTTTACAGTCCCGCGCTGAATAGTACCTCGAAATGACACAGGTCAATGGCGGACAATACTATCCCGCATTAAATTTACATTTTACTACAATGTACCACAAAATTGTAGCCCTTTGATGAATAGTTTAAAGCAAAGAAATAGACTTCTAAAGATCCCGTCTATACCTACTATCCATATGTGATTTTCTAGCTTTGAGTTGCTGTTTAATAACTTATAGCAATTTCATCATGGCGGATGTTATTTCTGGTCGATTAAAGATGAAAACAAATATGAAAGTTTGAATCGCTTTTATTGTAATTAGACAGCAAAATGTCATATTGAACAGAGAGATTGTGTGAAACAGGATGGAATGGGTTCAGTCAGTACCAAAAGGCTGTATCGATTAATTTAATATTTATATTCATTTTTTTCTCTATATTTGCAGAAAAATATTAATCCAATTGCGGATATTTTATGGATTTTGTTTTCTAGTATCTGTTGCTTGTTTCAATTTTACACTAATCGGCAAATTTAATCATTTGAAGGCGTATCATGTTGAATTAGCTGAATTTCATCTCGCATCTCGACCAAATTCTTACAGAAATATGGAAAATCTTCTATTTCTTTTTTAATTTCAAGATACAAAAAACATAGTTTAAATTAAAAAAAAACGGTTTAAATACAAACTATGTTTAGTCATTACTTGTACTTATATATGTTTTACACACTGTACTTTTTTGTGTGTCCGTTTGTAGTTTTATATAAACACTACACAAAATCTCAACATGCACTTGCCAAATCCCAAAGCAAAGGAGAGGCACTTATATAACTGATTGTTATTTTTCTCTATTTTTACACCCTCTCTTGGAGTAGGGGATATATGTTAATCACTTTGTCCATCCGTCCGTTCATCCATACTTCATACTTCTCCAGAAGATGGGCAGTGATCAATTCTAACGACATTAACACATCCTGTTTTTCCTATATTTGGAATAACAAGTGGAACAACCTTCTGTTCTTTTTAAAGATTTGACGAGAAAGTCTTAAATATTTACAGCTGAAATATATTTTTACTACCAAAGATTTTTCGCGAGTTTAAAAAAAAAACGTTGAAATAATTGCTTAGACAATGTTAAAACGCAAGTACATGTAGCATGTGTCACAAAGTGTGTAACGTATATATGTCAGTCTTATCCTTGTGTATGATGTCGGACAAAAACTCTGTGGAGCTTATGCTCCTTTATTAAAATATTTATGAGGGTATGGATGAGGTTTACAAAATAGAGAATAATGGGGAAAAAATAAAAAGAATAGAGAAAAATGGATAAAACAATAAAGAATAGAGAATAATGGGTAAAAAGTATAAAGAATAGAGAAAAATGGCGTAAAAAATTAAAGAATACAGTTTTTTTTATTGAAATAAATATTTCTCTTTGCAGGATCACCATCATTTAGGAGGAGCACCTCTAGCTATGTTAGCAGCACAATACAACAAACTTGGAGACCGATGTCCTTCGCCATTGTCCGAAAGTAAGGGATTTCATCCATGGAAACGTCCGATTGCTGCAGTAACAGCACCAGATCCTCTTTATTTGTCTTCTTCAAGATTACCCGGATTAAATGGATCAGTTTCAGTGCCTTCGTCTATGTGCTATGGACGCTCACCTGCGATGACATCACAATCTCCTTGCAACGATTGGATTCATCCATCAAGTGGTATGTCGCAGCAAATATCCGAAACACCGTCCCCCACATATCCACCAAAGATGGCGTCTGATAATTGTGCTAGTGCGTCAATGTTTGGAAATGTTTATTCTCGAATACCTCCGGTTAATGGACATTCATATGAATCTTGGTCACTTAATATGAACATTACTCACATGAAAGGCGAAAATGCACAACCGAATGGACATGCGTCTTCGTGGTGGGATATGCATTCGTCCCCCACTAGCTGGTATTCGGACATACCCGTAACGGCACCATCCATCCATTCACAACTTCCTCAAAGTTACCCTACTTCTGACTATTCATTAACGCATTCTTTAGGAACAAGTTCAAATCCTTACATGCAACCAAGCCAGCATATGTTACAAGACGGATACAAATCTATGTTTACACCTCAAAGTGATATTACAGCCTCAAGTTTGAATCCGTTCTTATCTAGACCGGTTCTAGGAAATGTGCCAATGACTAAAAACCAAAGAAGGCTTAATGGGCGTGCTACCTGTGATTGTCCCAATTGTCAAGAAGCAGAACGCCTTGGACCCGCCGCTGCTCAGCTGCGGAAGAAAGCTATGCATAGCTGCCATATTCCCGGATGTGGCAAGGTGTATGGCAAGACTTCACATTTAAAAGCCCATTTACGTTGGCATACTGGCGAACGGCCATTCGTTTGTAACTGGCTGTTTTGTGGTAAACGGTTCACTCGTTCTGATGAATTACAGCGCCATCTAAGGACACATACTGGCGAAAAAAGGTTCGCCTGTCCAATATGCAATAAACGGTTCATGCGCAGTGATCATTTAAGTAAACATACGAAAACACACGGATGCAATGACAAGAAAACAGAACAAACCAAAGATTCTGACAATAGTAGTGATAAAAAGTCGAGTCCTGGTGCTAAATCATAAAACGCTTTAAGAATAATGTTACCGTACTGCTGAAAATGTTTTATTTTAAGATGTATTAAATATGTTGATGCATAATGATTTTTTTCTATGCCAAGTTTCTGATTGTTTTTGTAAATGGAGATTCTTAATGGTTAATTGGAATGATGAACAAACACCAAAAAAGGAGAGATAACACACAAAAACTCATTCATTTAAAAAATGATATAAAAAGTATGACTCTAAACGAGGCTTATGTAAATGCTTATAGATATCACTCCCAACTCTGAAATCCGCTACAATTCATGATCATATCATTCTTTAAAGATAATGGTTTAAAACATTAGTCATTTTTTGTTGTTGTACATCATAAATCCATGGCAGCTACATGTAACTGTTTTGAAAATAGAAGTCGGGAGGTCATGGTGTCGGTTAGTTCCATATGGTCGAGTCAAAGCAAAGACTTTTATCTTTTCGCTAAGCACATACCATTAAGCAGTAAGGGCAATGACTTTGTAGACGCCATTTCAGGAAAGTTTAGCCGGGTAGGATACCATGTCTTTATGCAAACTGTTACCTGCACGGTGAACAATCGCTTAAACATAATTCCAGCTAAGCATGTCGGACAAGTATATATATAAAGAATTGTGCATTGATATGAAAGTAACATGTTATTGCCCTGAATATGACTGTTACCTAAACTATATTTGTTACTGAGATGTTAAGCACAAAATCAACCAGTCAGTCAAAAAAAAAAACCAATGGTTGTCAGTTTTGGGCTGAAAAAAAACAACCATTCGAAGCTTCGACAAAATTCCATGTTATCATACAGGTTTTGCTCGGTCATTCAACAATCGCCTCTACCTCGTGTATGACAAACATATTTTATATCTATATCTATTTTTTTTTACTACATGTACCACTGAGTCTATATAGTGGCCGGTAGACAGTTAGATCCAGAACTATCCATCAAGCATCGATCAATGATTATATTTGTTCATATCAACGAAACCATTCTTTCATACTTACTTTACCATTTTACTTTATTGACTTGGGATTCATCTCCCTTAGAAGTATATATTCAACTTTACACTAAATCGAATTGGAAGTGTACTGATTTATACTTAAGTCTGGAAGAACAAGATCTATTAATTAGCTTTTAATGGCTTTGAACTATCATTCAGTAACTTCGAGTAATCTTAATTCGGTCATTTGTGGCTTTTTTCTTTTTGTTGGTTAATTTTTGTGCTTTGTGCCAATCTGATGAGTCGAGCCATTTCCGACTAATTTTGTACGGTGTGTTCTTACGTATGTTGTGCTGTTACACCACTGTCCCAGGTAAGGGGAGGGTTGAGCACTCTAAAACATGTTTAACTCCGCCATATTCTATATGTGCCTGTCCTAAGTCAGGAGCGTGTGATTTAGTGGTAGTCGTTGGTTTCTATCTGTTTTTATTGCTTTTCGTTTGTTGTTTTGGCATAAACTAATTAGGCAATTTCTTTTTCGTTTGGATTTTTTCAGATTTTGTTATATTTGGGCCTTTTATAGCCGAGTTTTGCTCATTGTTAAAAGCCGTACGGCGACCTATAGTTGCTTAAATCAACGTCATCTGGACTTTGGTATATACGTTTCATTATATGAATAACAGTAAGGAGATGTCAAATAGATGCCAACAAGACAACTGCCCATTGAGGCCAAAGGACAAAACATTTTATTGATCTGATTGTCAATGAGTAAATTTCATTCAAATTTTGTTTTAAAAAATCGGTTCATATAATGAATCTTCATTCAAAAAGCACATATACCTGTATGAGTCATTTGCTTTCAAAAACACGAACACACAATTAGAAAATACATATACAAGAGTACATGCATATCATACAAAAATACATTACTGATATATCATATTTAAATGTTTCAAAATGCTTAGCGTTGTATGCAGTCTCGGCAATATTTTAAAGCAATATTTTGTAAGTTCATCAATTTTAACAAGAACTTAAGTTTCTTTTTTTGTAGAAAGCATTAAATTTGACAGTTTTGGCTGTTCGTGAACATCCGGTCCACTTGGCAAAGTTGCTTCGTGTTCATTTAAATTCATCTTTGATATATTTAACGTATGGCTCTGAGTGTTCATGGTGATTTGTCTCTTTTTAAACAAGCTTTTCGAACGTAGTTTATACGGTTATTTAACACTCCGCTCAAAAGTAGGGGGAATACTGATATGCCACTTTCCGTTCTTCTGTTCGGACAAGTACAAGTCATAGCTTGGTGTATAGTAGTAATCTTCATCTGTACATTTCATAATGTTTGACACGTGTCCAGTTCTTTCAGTGTCCTGCGTGCTTCCTGTCCAAAACATATATCTTTAAAATGTCATGCTCATATATTAAATGTTCGTCTTTTCTTTCATCATCAACTACATGTCATAGCTTCTTTATATAAGAAACTTACTGCAATATTTGATTGAATTACGTATATTTACTAAAACATAAGTCTCTTTTTTTCACTCAAAACTCCTGTTCTGCCTTTTTTTTAAATTTCATCCTGGCCCCCCCCCCCTAAAAATCAAATGGTAGCTCCCTAAACAACGATCGTTTTTGTTAAAACATTTTCAACTTCTAACACATCATAGTAACATATTAACCACGTCTGTACTAAAACTTTTTAGCATATACTATACCGCCTTGAAACAGGAGCTATAATACGTATTCGGATTTGGTGAAGTGGCGATCTAGTTAGGAATGTTTAAGAAAAAAATTAGTTTCTTATTCCCAAAAATGAAAAAATAAATAAAGAACACAAAAACAAAAAAAGAGCACACATATCAAAAAAAAAAAAAAAAAAATGAAAAAAACACATATGCATTCTATAGTGCGAAACACTATTTTATGGAACTTATAACTTGCCTAGTACCATAATGTTTACTATTTTAAAAAGAGATGAGATGATCTCAAGGTCATAATCGAAGATAGATAGACAATTCCATGGATAAAAGAAAAACGATTAAAAGAAAAATAATATTCAACAAAACACTTACAGAAAACTAAAGACCGAACAACAGGAAACCCACCAAAAACCGTGGGGTATTCCGGAAGGGACTTACAAAATCATCACGAGAAACAAGCAACACAGTGCCAAGATCGTAACGATACACTAAGTTCAGCGGTTTTTAATATATAATTTTCATATTGCCTTTTTAGATTTTCGAAGAAAAAATCTAACATTTAAAAGTTAGAGTTTACTAGGATTTTCCAATGTCATTTTAACGATTTTAATATACTTAGTAATTAATTAATATAATTTACCCAATTCGTCCATAAATCTTTCTGTATGAGAAATTCTTCTGTAATTATGTATTCAGTGGCGACACCGTCACATCTTACCTCACTTGACGTGTTTGAATCATGCTCAAATTTTAGTTCATTTATATGTTTTGGAGTTTAGGGTGACGTCCATTTTCACTGAACTAGTACACAATTTTATTTAGGGGCCAGCTGAGGACCACCTCCGGGTGCGGGATTTTCTCGCTGCGTTGAAGACCCATTGGTGGCCTTCGGCTGTTGTCTGCTCTTTGGTCGGGTTGTTGTCTCTTTGACATATTCCCCATTTCCATTCTCAATTTTATCAGTTCTGTCTTGTTTTTGAAATTTTGTCTATGCTATTTTCTCACCTATTTGTTAGTCGCTAAACGTCCAACTGCCAATACTTCGCAGATTACAAAAAGGTCATAGGTTGTTGCTATGACTATTCCTATATCATATTGACTTGCACGGTTGTTGAAGACTCTTATCTTGTTATCATGTTCTTAAGCCTTTTCCAGGACAGGAACCTTTTCTGCAATTTTCTTTTGTTATATCTTAGTGTATATTTATTTACTTTTAGGAATTTTGGTGTTAATGGAAGATATATTATGAGGTATTGAGGGGTTTACAGAATAGAGTATATCATAGGGAAAGATGGCGAAAAAAAAGGCAAATAGGATTTTTACATCGGATGACCGTGAGGGCATTCCGGTGTAATGTTGCCACAGACATTTCTACTTACGTGACTTTCGTTTTTTACTGATAACGGAACGCAAAATAACATTCCTTATCGCTTGTTATATATCAATTTCATCAATAAATATTCATGAAAATAATTTTTAAGAACATATATATATATATATATATAGATAAATGATATGAAAATGTTTTGTCGTGAGAAATATATATATCAATAACAAATCAAGAATACCAAAAATTTGTATTAACACATGCGGAAGAATATTTCAAGAACGTTTTGCGGGAAAATATGAATGTCTACTCAAATCAAATCTATTAGAAAAATCGAATTATTACAGAGTCCACCATGCACTTGCACTGCACTATTATTAGAATAGTAGAATAGAATTATACATAAATGGATGAAAATTATATATACATGTAACTGTTATATACAAATATTAATATAATATATAACAACAAACCAGAGTACTAGTATACTGATTTGTATCACTACAATACAATAGTTATTATTGTGAGGTTGAATTCCCTGTCATTTATTCATCATCCTCGCACGAACTTGTCTCAGAAAAAAATATATCTATGTACCTTAACCTCACTTTGGTATAGATATGTGATTTTTTTTAATTCTGAGACAAGTGCTTGTGACCATCCACAAGAACTTGCGGTCATCCGATGTTCAGTACTTTGATTATAGTTTGTTCTTATGTTGTGCTGTAACACCACTGTCCCAGGTTAGAGGAAGGGTTGAGCGCTCATAAACATGTTAAACCCCGCCACATTCGTTATGTGCCTGTCCCAAGCCAGCAGCCTGTGTAGTTCAGTGGTTGTCGTTGGTTCATGTCTGTCAATTACAATTAGTTTCAAAGATATATCTACGTGATGTAAGAAGCATCTAACTCTATACTTGAACTTCAAAATAGTAAGTAATTACTAGTATATAATATACCAACACAAAACATGTGCATTGTACACATGTTGCACACATAATAGCTAACACTTTTATCTCATTTTTATATATATGTATATGTTAATCATACAATAAACCATAAATAAATATAACTTTGTTTAAAGTTGATATTATTTTTTTTGTCA